CGCGCGGACACAGGCCGCGCTGGGGATCAGCCGGAGTCCTAGTGCGTTCCACGCTCCCCGGGCCTGACCCTTCCTCCCGCTCGCAGGACCATGGCCAACAGTGAGCGCACCTTCATCGCCATCAAGCCTGACGGCGTGCAGCGCGGCCTGGTGGGCGACATCATCAAGCGCTTTGAGCAGAAGGGATTCCGCCTTGTGGCCATGAAGCTAGTTCAGGTAAGGACTCCTCTCCCTGGCTCTCAGTAGCTGTGTCCCAGGTGTTTTATCCTCGGCAGCGGTTTGTCCGCGCTTCCTTTCCGAGCCAGAGCACCCTTTGTTAATTTTGCCCCCGTGAGAATCCTTTCGTCCGCTGGGACAGGGCTGCCTTTTCGGAGACCCGGCCCGAGGCCGGGTGACAGACGCCCTTGGGAAGGTTAAGAGGTAACGTGAGTCCTGTTCCCAGAGCATGGCTTCCTTCCGGCAGGTTCGTGCAAGGGCAACCAGCTGTTGGTCGCAGGGAGGCAGCAGGGAATGCTGGGCCCCAGACCCCTTCTTTTGGCCCACGTGGCCCACTTGTGCACTGTTGAGGCTTGGAATCCTTTTGTGTTTTACCCTGAAATTTCGAGATGATTGAGGTTTTAAGGGAGGGTGCCCTTTTCTCTGCCCTTTCTCTACAGTATCCCATTGGCATAGGGTTGTTGTTGTTGTTGTTATGTGCAGTCGAGTCAAACCCGACTCATAGCGACCCCTCCTTGGGTTTCTGAGGCAATATCACTACGGAAGTAGGATTGCCCAACCTTTCTTCCGAGGATTGGCTGGTGGGTTTGAACCGCCAGCCGTCTGGTAGCAGGCAAGTGTCTTAGCCACTACGCTACCAGAGCTCCCTGGCATAGGGTAGTGGAGTATATTTTCCACATTAAATTTGAGGCACAGCTCTGGACCTTACACTTACGGGTAAGTATCTAAGTACTGAAATTTTAACCAGGCTCATCAGTGAAGAGAATGTTCTCAGTTAACATCTGAAATGTTTTTTTAAAAGGGCATTGCATGTGGACCAGAGGAGTTTGTTATAACCTCTCTGTCTGGCATACTGGTTACCACCTACCCCTCATCCAAAAATAGAGCACCAAAATGGCTTAAAGCAAAGAAACATTTACTGTTAATTTATATGGGAAAAATTTTGGAACTTTCTCAGAGCCAAAAAAACCTACCAAATTATACCAAATATATAAAACCTACTGCCATGGAATTGATTACAACTCATAATGACTTCCATTGGGTTTCCAAGGCTGTAAATCTTTACAGAAGTGGATTGCCTCATTTTCCTCCTGTGGAGCAGCTGATGGGTTTGAACTGCCAACCTTCTGGTTATCAGCCAAATGCCTTACCCTGTAGCCATCAACACACACACACACACAGACACAGTGCCATGGAGTCCATTCTGACTCATAATGACCCCCTATTGGGTTTCCAAGGCTGTAAATCTTTATGGAAGGAGATTCTGCCAAGCATCTGGTGGGTTTGAACCTTCTGGTTAGCAGCCAGATGTCTTATCCACTACACGACCAGAGCTCATTAAATAACACATAAAGCCCCAGATAATACTAACATGTAGTGTTCATGCAGTTCAAAGCGATGGTGGCTTGACGCTGAGATGTACTGAGTGTAATTCCCCAGGAGGGAGCCTGGTGAGGTCTCTGCCCTGGTGTGCGCAGCTTCTTTTTTAACAGCTTACTGCGAAATGTGGACCACTAGTTTTGCTTTTTGAGTTTTTTTTTTGAAAAGTGAAAATCCTCTTGGATTTCTTTGGTAGGGAAAATAGGTATTAATGTAAGTCTTTCTTTACCAAAGTGGCTGAAGTGAACTTTCAAAATGCAGAGGATACTTGTATTTCCTTCCTGTACTTCAATGACAGCCAACATTTAACTCTCTTAATCTAGATCTTCAAACTACCTACTTAGGTGCTCTGGTGGCGTAGTGCCTAAGGCATTTGACTGCTAACCAGAAGGCTGGCAGTTCAAACCCACCAGCCACTCCTTAGAAGGAAGGTTGGGCAATCTACTTCCGCAGAGATACTGCCTCGGGTAGGGATCGTTTTCTTAGGATTATAAAATCTGTAACATGGTTCAGATTGAGGATCTGCTAACAATAGCATCAGTTTCATGGTTTGAATGGGATTCTTTTTGTACACACATTGTGAATGTGGACTAAAAATACTGGACATTCAGAGAACCTTCTGTATTAATGGGGGGTTCTGAGGATGGCCAGAGCAGTATTTGGGCCTTCTTTGCTTATTTCCTAACTGGTAACTCCTCACTAATGCCAGGCCTCTGAGGAACATCTGAAGCAGCACTACATTGACCTGAAGGACCGCCCATTCTTCCCGGGACTGGTGAAGTACATGAACTCAGGACCAATTGTGGCCATGGTGAGTGCCTGTGGGGTCTGAGCAGGAACCAAGGTATAAAAGGGCTGATAGGTAAACTGGCTTTGCTCAGTGCCTGCTTGTTCTGTTCCCTTTTCAGACTTCTTTCCCACTTATTCCAAATTCCTTATTTTATAATTGAAGTCTCCTGGGGTCCCTTACAGAGCAACTAGGAGCTTGGGAGGAGAAAGGAAAGGGAATCAGACTTTAGCAGAAATAAGGATACTTGAGGTTGGAGTCGACTTGATGGCAACTAATAGCAACAAGGTCCTTAGTATTTCTTGGGGTTGAAATAAAGAGAATCTGGTTTTCAATCCTGTCTGACTGGGACCCAGAGTAAAAAGTGAAGTTTACATCCAATCCAGGATATATGTACAATATGTGTTGTATGTATATATGTATGTCCCTGTATTTGTGTATATGTATGTGAATGTGTATGTGTCTATATGTGTGTGTGTGTGTGTGTATGTGTGTGTATATATGTATATGTGTGTGTGTATATATATATATGTATATATATATATATATATATCAGATGTCACAAAACATTTACCATATTGGTTATAACCCATGGTTTAGAAAATGCTGCTTTACCTGCACATAATGGCATGACTGAAGTAACAATCAGATTGAATAAATTAGCATTTCAGTACATAAATAAATAAATAAATAAAATAAAAGGAAAATGGGCTACATTGCTTCATTCTTTACTTACAAGAAAGCATTAAATTGCCTCAGTTGACAGATGTTTTAGACTTTAACATTTTCTAAAGGAACATTTTTTGTTTTTTCATGAAAAATTCAAACGTAAGAAACAAAAGTTCTCTGTAATCCTGTGTTTCTTCTTGTGACCTTAATGTCCCATTGGAAGCAAATAGTAGAGGGTGTATAAAGGAGGCAGTGAAATTGTTTAGAGACAACCAAAGCAGCCCTCCTTCCTGATCCCTCAGTATGACTTTCCCTTCCTTCTGCTCTTTTGTAGAATACACTTTCCCTTTCAGGATACTCTTGCCCATCTCTTGCTCTGACAGACTTCTGGGAACCTCTTCCCACTGATCCTGTTTCAGTCTGATCACTTTTGTACTCCATCACTATTTCTTCTCAGTCTTTGTGGCTGCATAAAGATTTGTCAGTCTTGTTTATGTCCATCCCTGCTGGACTGGGACATCTCTAAGTTGGTTAGACTCTTTCTGCAGTATCCTAGCAATACACTCTCAATGGTGCTTTTTATATAAGCTTTTACTATCTACTGTGGTTGACTGATAATCATGTCACTGATTGTTCTAATTGATTTGTACTCTTGGTTCGAAGTAAAACTTTGTCCCTAATGGTCCTAGATGGCAGATCTGATGCAGTTCCTTTTCTCTACTGTCAAGGTCTGGGAGGGGTTGAATGTGGTGAAGACGGGCCGAGTGATGCTTGGGGAGACCAATCCAGCGGATTCTAAGCCAGGCACTATTCGTGGGGATTTCTGTATTCAAGTTGGCAGGTGAGTCTTGGGGCACAGGGAGTTGGATCTCTTTTCCTCCAGGGCATTTAGGTGGGGTATAAATCATTTTTAGCATATCCCAATTTTAGAAAAAATTGAAATTAGCTATTGCTGGATAAAAGCTTTGTTAGATAGCTAGTTCCCTAGGCTACTTAAAATTTTAACCAAGACACTGCACAAGGTAACTGGTAGATCCTGTGTGGCACAGCGAAGGTGCCAGGTGCAGGGGAAAGGAAGGGCTCTAGCATTGGCTCTGCCCTCTTTGACTCTATGTGTGTGCCATTTAATCTCTTGGTTTCCTCATCTATACAAAAAGCAGATAATGACCCAGCTAACTTTACAGTTACGAAACTCTAATGAAGTGTGAAAAAGCACTGAGATTGTCCCTAATAAGCATGTACTTCCTGGTTGGGCTGCATCAGCCAGTGTTGTAATCTAGCAGAAATGGCCCTCGATAATGAATATATCCCATCTGGTTATGGTTTTGAGGACCTCTGGTAGCATAGTGCCTAAGGCATTTGACTGCTAACCAGAAGGCTGGTGGTTCAAGCCCACCAGCCACTCTTCGGAAGGAAGATGGGGCAATCTACTTCCGTAGTGATACTGCCTTGGAAACCCAAGGAGGGGTCGCTATGAGTCAGATCCGCTTTGAGTTGAGTTACGGTTTTAGGCTGGGGCAGGTCTGGCTATTCCCATGTTTTTCAAAAATTTGAGAAGGAATGTTTAGTGACATCAACAGGCTTGGGGTACCACTGTTTTGAGTGGAAAACTTGGGAACATAAAGTTGAACCAGGGGTATTTTTAGCCAAGCATTTAGTTCATAGTTGCTTTTAAATAGTAATACTTTGGGGGTAATTGGTCTGCAGCTTCAAGTGGCAATGTGGCTGAAAATGTCTGCAGTGTCTGTCTCTTGTTCTACCCACAGAACAGACTTTTGTAGTTTAAAACATGGTTAACTAGTAATGGTTCTCTTTCTTAGGAACATCGTTCATGGCAGTGATTCAGTAAAAAGTGCTGAGAAAGAAATCAGTCTATGGTTTAAGCCAGATGAATTGATTGACTACAAGTCTTGTGCCTGTGACTGGATCTATGAATAAGAGGCGGACAAAACGGCCTTCTCCTCCCTTTGGCACTGCTTGATGTGCCCCCCTATACAGCTCTTCATTCCACAGACTTGGAAGCAATAGGACTGAGGATTTTTTTTTCTAAAGCATATTTACCAATAAAGCCTTTGGAAAGTGGGCGCTGACTCCTGTGCGTGTTTTAATACTAAGCTGAAAGAGGTGATATGGTTCCCTGGCTATAGAAGCACTATCTAGAGCTAATAAATCCTGTTTATTGTGAAAGAATAGAGCCCTGGTGGCACAGTGGTTCAGCACTCAGCTGCAAACTGAAATGTTGGCAGTTTGAAGCCATTATTTGCTCTGTGGGAGAAAGACTTGGTGGTCTGCTTCCATCACGATTACAGCCTTAGAAACTCCATGGGCAAGTTCTGCTCTATCCTGTAGGGTCGTTATGAGTTGGAATTGACAGCAACAGGTTTGGTTTTTCTGAGTGTCTCTGTAGACTTCAAGACTCTCAGGGAAAGTAAGCAGAGAAGGCTGGTGAGGACAAGTGCTGTACTGGTTGTGTATATAAGAAAATAAAGAAGCACACATAACTGCTTTAGCTGATGTAGAAACGTGTATTCATTTCTATAGGAAGGATCTGACGATAGTGTGAGATACATAGACTAATCAAGTGGTCCAGATTTACATCTTTTCTTGATTGTGCAAATTGGGCAAGTTATGAGGAAACAGAAGCATAAAGACGTCTATAAAATGGGGCTAATACTTAAAAGCTTGCAAGTTGCCATCTAGATGCAATGAAGAGTCTCTCCACGTCCAGAGCAAAGAAGAATGAAAAAAAAACAAAGACATGGAAACAATTAGTCCAAAGGACTGGTAGGCCATGTGATCCTCAGTATGACCATGAGACCAGAAGAACTAAATGGTGCCCGGCTACCACAGTTAACCACTTGCAGGGGGATCTGTGTAGGAGATCCTGGATAGAGCGGGAGAACAATGTGGAACAAAACTCAAAATTAAAAAAAAAAAAAAAACCAGGTTTGCTGGTTTGATGGAGCCTGGTGAGATCCCTGAGACTATGGCCCTTAGCTGCCCTTTGGGTCTGGAATGGAACTCAATCCTGTGGCTTCCAGCCAAATAACAGACAGGCATATGGCCTGAACATTTACATCAGGTAGATACACTCCTTGGAGAGATCAATCATGGGAGAACAGAAGGGCATTGTGTACACAGGGAAACAGCTTGGGAGGGCAGGAATGCATGGAAGGGAAGAACATGGGATTGGTAACTACGGGGAGGAAGTGGGAAAAGAACTGTTAACATTGTGGGAAACTGCAGTCAAATGTCATGAGACAAAACGTGTATGAACTGTATGGAAAATGAATTTTACTCTGTGAACTTTCACCCACATCAAAATAAAAATTTTAAAGTTATTGACAGCTTATGCAAAAACCATGTAAAGATTTTAGTTTTGAATAAAAAATGACAAAAATTTAACATTTCTAAATTATTTTTCAATTTCAAATTTAATTCACATTTACGTATGCAACGTGCTTTGGATACAGGTAAGTAGAAAATGAAGTTTTGCTAGATGTTGGGGCAGGGCCTGGGGATCTGCAATGTAATGTGGTGCCAGTTTCTTATGCACACCGACTGAGGCCCTTGGGTCAGCTGTAGCACAGTTAAGTACAGACTTACTTTGCCAGGCCTGTTCAAAGAATTGAGGTTAGCCTAGTATCCCCATTTTACAATAGAGGAAACTGAGCTAAGTCATGTAACTAGCAAGTGAAGGAGCCTGGTTCCAGCCTGAACGTCTGGCTTCAGCCGGTATTCTTGGCCTTTAAATAGTTTTTCAAAAAGTTCTGAGTTTGGAGAGTAAGTGAAGTCTAAGTTGAAATAGTGATAGCTGAGAGAAAGGCTCTGGATATTAGGACCTAATTTGGTGGTCCCGAACAAGAAGGAAAGGTGTGAGATTACAGTATCTGCTCCTAGAGTAAGGGTGAGTTTAGGGCCTATCCTTTGCAGCTGAGTGTGTGAAAGTGGGAAATTCATTCACAACTCTTTATGCTTTTCAATAAAACTGAAATACCTTATTTTTACATTATTTGTTCATTGTCAATGGCCAAGCTCTATTTTGCTTTGCTCTTTGGGCTTGGAATTTCTCAAAAACCCCAAAACCAAACTCACTGCTGTTGAGTCGAATCTGACTCAGAGAGACCCCTCCCTGGGTTTCTGAGACGTGGCTGGTGGGTTTGAACCACCAGACTTCAGGTTTTACCAGTCAAGTGCCTAAGGTACCCTAACTTTAGTAAAAGACTGTAAAACTTAAAGTTTAACTGTTGTCCGTATCTCACAAGGCTAGAAAAAACAGTGCTAGAAAAGTTGTTTTTGGGAAAACTCTTGTTAATTTTAAAACATGTTTCAGGTAGAAAGCCCAAGAGGCATGTAATAGTTTATAAAGCATTTATGTATCAAAGCTCATGGGATATTAAATGAGAGCCAACCTGGGAATTACAACTTCCTACAGCAATTATCTCAGAAGGAAGGTTGGGCAATCTACTTCTGTAGTGATACCTCCTCAGAAACCCAAGGGGTTGCTGAGTTGGATCCGACTCGATGGCAGCGAGTTTGGTTTTTGGTTTAGATCAATTATATGGGTAGCAATTATATGGCTCCATGGTTAAGTGTTCAGCTGCTAACTGAAAGGTCAGCAGTTGGAACCCCACCAGCTGCTCCAAGGAAATGGCTGTATTACTTTGCTTCTGTAAAGATTTACAGCCTCTGAAACCTCCTGGGGCAGTTCTACTCTGTCCTAAAGGGTCCTAATGAGTCAGAATAAACTTGGTAACTGGGTGTTTTGTTTAGAGCAACTGCTTAGCCATTTAAGGTAGAGAGTAACCTCTACTTTCCCTTTTCTTGAAACGTGTTACTATTTTTCTAGTGTGAAATTAACCCTCCTAGAATCCCCTGCTTGCTTTTACCTTATTAGGTTACACTGAGGAAGTTACCTATCTCACTTTCACGGGGCCTCCGATTGCTTACAGAAAGCACTCAATATTGTGAATTGAAAAAAAAAAAAAAAAGAATCACTCAAATACAGGACATTATGCTGAGTGAAGTCAGTCAATCACAGAAGGACAAATATTGTATTAGTCTGTTACTGTAAAAAGTTAAGGAAATGTTTATTTATGGAAGGAAATTTTCTTTGTTGGTTACCAGGGGTGGGAGGGGAGGGAACACTATTAGATAGGCAGAGACAAGTATTGATTTCGATGAAGAGAAGGGCAATGTACTGAATGTGAGTGATCAACATGGTAGCATTGAGGAAGAGGAAGGCAGAGAGAGGTACATGGGAGGTGCAGACAATGAAGATGAATGCTTTTGTACATACAGTACTGTGTTGTCAGTGAAGGCAAATATGGCTATAGGGTGGATAGATGGGTAGACAGGCTGAACTATCAGGTATGCCTATGCAGGGGGAAGTGTGCCTAAGAGCATGTATAGGGTTGGCAGACAATGTTTCTACAAGTGTATTGGTATGTTCTGTAAGAATTCCCAGGTGTATAGTAGAGCTGACAAGGGACAAGGCTGTAGTTACTTCTTGGCCACAGCCAGCTACCCAGAGGGAGCAAGCAGTTGGACCTGTGGGCTCAGGACCATAGTCACAGGGAACATCAAGCTCAACTTGCATAGTACACTACACAAAACATTATTCCACATCCTACTTTGGCGAGTAGTGACTGGGATCTTAAAAGCTTGCAAGCAGCCATTTAGATGCCACCAATGGGTCTCTCCTCGTCCAGAGCAAAGAAGAATGAAGAAAACCAAAGATTCATGGAAACAGTCCAAGCTACTGGTACACCATGTGATCCTCAGCCTATACAACTATGAGACCAGAGGAACTAGATGGTGCCTGGCTACCACTGTCAACCACTTGGAGGCGGATCTATGTAGGAGATCCTGGATAGAGTGGAAGAACAATGTGGAACAAAACTCAGTATCATCTAGGGGAGAAAAAAAGGAACCAGGTTTGCTGGTCTGATAGAGCCTGATGGAACCACTGAAGACTATGGGCCCTAGCTGCCCTTCAGGTCTGGAACTGAACCCACACCTGTGGCATCCAGCCAAACAAAAGACAGGCATATGAGGTGAACATTTACACTAGGTAGATACACTCCTTGGAGAGAACCATCATGGGAAAATAGAAGGCCTGTGTATGCAGAGACAGCTCGGGAGGCAGGAGTAAATGGGAGGGAAGGGCACAGGGAAGAGGTAACTATGGGGAGGAAGGGGAGCTGCTGCACTGTGGTAAACTGTAGTCAATGTCATAAGAAGGTGTGTGTGAGTTGCTCTGTGGAGGGTGAATTTGTTCGGTAAACTTTTACCCAAATGACAATTAAAAAAAAAAAAAATCAGTCAAATACAACTTAACTTTGACATTTTATTTTGTGTAAAAAAGGGCAAATTTAGTGAATTATTTTCATCGTGTACACAAAGTTATAATTTTAATGCTTTTCACATCCATGCTGAAAATTTGCAATTTGGTAAAAATCAAAGAAACATAAATTTCTCTGAAGGAAATTTTCACGCTATTATATACACTTTATGAGAAAGTCTCAAACACTTTCTCAATGATCACGAGTTACCAAGAAAATAAAAGATTAAATTTGTACAGATATTGATCTATATATCAAATACATACAGAAATGATGTAAAAAACCTTATGCAGTTTACTTTGACCTCTGTCCTCAAAAGATTTGCCCAGGGACAGATGTTTTTCTTTTGTATAAATGACTGTGGCTTTATTTAAAATATGAAAATCAAAGGAAGAAACCCAGTTTAATCACAGTATTTTTAAAATCCCTCCCCAATATTAAAGGATCATTACCAAATATATAGCACCATAATACAAATATTGATGGGAGAGGGTATTCACATCACGCAAATTAATAATAATAAAAACAAACAAACACTGAAAACCCGTGTTAGTATCCGTAGAATAAGTTGATAACAGCTTTAGCTTTCCTCATACACAGCAAGGAAAAGGTTAAAGAGTTTAAACTACCAAAAGTCCCCAAATAACTCTAACAAGTAAGAAATAAAAACAAACCTAAAGTCAGCAGTACATTTTGAACTGTAAAAGAGAATGGGGCTACTGAATTATACGATG